ACTATATAAATTTAAAAATAAAATGTCACTGACTGTGTGCCCGTGCACACTCTGTGGCAAGTTACCCTGTGGTAAATACCCATTTGTATCCATCCTGCGTACAATGCATAGAGAATGACATAGAAGAAGGGCAGGTAATGTGGTAAAGCAGATGCCTGGAGATACTTAACCTCTGCAAGTGATAACAGGTCAGCAATTGATACAGTAAATCATAATAGCTTTGAGTTAAGGCAGAAGCAGGAGAGACCTGAGATGGATGGCATTATTTCTACAGTCTCAATTGACTTTCCTTTGTTTACATTGGTGCAATCATGGCTTACTAATATCCCATATGCTATTGCCCTTAAGATGACCGACCTGGTGCCACCTCCACATATACCATATATAAATCTGAGGTCCAGATGTTGTCCTTCATATGCCTGAAGAAGTGGACTGTAACCTGTAAAGGCTCGCACTGAAATAAACTCATTCATCTGAAAGAAGCCACAATGTTTTTGATTTTGTTGCTGCTGAAACAGGCTAAGATGGCTACCTCTTTGAAAGCTATCTCAAGAGGGACTTCTGAAAGTCAAATACATCGGAGACAATTCATACAGTATATTCTTTGTTTGTTAATCATAGCTTTTGGTGACAAAGTGGGATTTATTAATCACGATGTAAAGAGCATTCACATCCGCAGTATCAAGTCAAAACCTAGTACTGTTCTATGGACACTCCTTGACAGGTACATGTGAAAACTAGCAATAGGTAGGCATGTGTGAACAACTCCTCAGTGTGGAAAGGAAGAAATATTTATCCTGATAAATAATGAATCACTGCAGACAGAAGTGCAGGATCATTCCTGTAGCTTTTGTCAAATTTTAATACAGCGCAGCATTTAACTTTCAGGACAATCCAAATGGTATACGTTTAATTATAATGTTGTACCTTTTTAAAAAAAACCTGCAAAAAATAATTTATTTTGCTCTTGGTGTGGGTCACTGACATTAAAGACAGGAATTGTCATTTAAAGACTGAGAGGAAAACTCTGAAACCATTTATTTAACATAAAGACCAAAAGGAAGAGGCAATGGTGGTGAAGCAGTTCAAAGTCACTGAAATTAATATTCTATAAAGGTCAACCAAGGTGCCTGTTTAACCAAAAAATGAGATTGCAGTGTGATTAATATGGCTGCTGAGGGGGGAAAAATGAAACCAAAGTTGGACTGGGTCGAAACCGGTTCCAAGTTTGTTAGCTGTAATTTCCAGATAGCCAGCACTATATCTGGACTGAGTCGAAACTGGTTCCAAGTTTGTTAACTGTAATTTCCAGATAGCCAGCACTATATCAGCAGCAGCTTTTGCTAGCACTGGAATGAGCATGCATGTCAACATTAATATGTGCCATTTCAGTCCTGCTGACCAGCCAAAACATGACAAAAAGAAACCTACAAAATGGATCTTGGATGAGGGGAGATCAGGAAAGGCCAAATCAATATACGACCTGCAGTTGTTAGGGTTAAAAATAGGCATTTGCTGAAAAACATAAAACAGTGAGGTTGTAATAAGACTTCTACATTGTCATAAGGTGCCCATGGTTCAGGATGAGGATGGTACAACTTATAACATTATAATCAGTCTCCAGTCACAATCAGTAACATTACCAATGCCCTGTACAAATGACTGATGTTGCCAGGGAATGTTTGGTTGATAACTGTGTTCATGTTTCCAGATGCTCACCTCATCCTTTTCAGTGTTCATTTTTGCATAATCTTGTTATCAAAGGTTCCACTATATGAAGTGCTCATTTTATATTTAAAGACCAAAACAACACAGGTATGGCAAGGGGGGAGGGGTTCCAAAAGAGACACACTTCAACAAACAGAATAAATAATAAGACCTGAACTGCTTTAAAAAAAAAAGGAATGATGTGGATATTTTCAGGGTTAAAGAAGCAAACATTAAAATGAAACAAACAGAATCATACCTTAAATATTTATCAGCTCATTAGTGCTATGCATGATGGAAACAAATACAGAAATACACAGATTAAATAGCAGCCAAAAAAAACCCCCATCAAGTCTACTGGCCAATGTGTCACTGATAAGTATTTTGATTACTCCTCCATTTCTTCCCCGCCTTCAGGCACAACAAACAATCATCAAGATGATGATCTTCAACATATCATGTGCAAAAGATACCAATGCACTATTCTCAGTAGCTACAGTGTGCATCATAACCCGCACATTTCTAAATAAAAATCAGATACTCTAAATTAAAGGTATCCCTTGAGTTATAGCTCAAAAATAGGCAGCCTCTGGTACATGTGCTCTGCCATACAAAGGGATATCAAGTTTGGTCAGAAACAGGAAAGGTTGGGCGGTGATATACTCCATCTCCCAGAATTCCATGCGGTTTTGGTGTTAAAGTCCAAAAGACTCAAAAATCTCCTATCTGTAGTCTTGGCTTCTTTGTATTCCAATGTGTTCTACCTTCAGGTTTAGTTTTTTTCCTATCCTCACGCAGAATCCATTCTGGAATTTCTCCTAATGAGAAAGGAAATTTTCTCCTCCTCAGTAATGACCTTATGTCATTTGCAAAATATCATTTGAAAAATGTGACACCTGATGACCCACTGAGGTAAAGAACAGGGCGAGAGGATGGCTCTCACCAATATCAACCCAGAGATTACAATGCCATACTTTTTTCCAGCTTGCTGCCCTGAAATTCATTTCAAATCAAGAGGAGCATTGATAGAGGATGGACAGACTTTGGAATTTCCAAAGTCTAGTCAGGCACAAACACTCTAAAGCTATAATCCTTTGCATGTTTACTTGCGAGTAAAACTGTTGAACCCATTGAGATTTGCTTCTGAATTAACACAGATAGGATTCAGCTGCTGAGTGCCCTTGACTGAATTGATATTGGCAAGCGTTTATGACTTCTGCATTGAAAATAATGGGATTTTAAAATGACATCCGGCTGCAACTGGGTCCTCTCTTTCTCACCCACACCGTTTCAAATTTCCTTATATGTAATAACAGAATGAAAATAGTACTGCACCTGTTTCATAGTGCTAGTATAGGCATAATAGAATCTAGAAAACACTGTTACATGCCATAGTCCTGACCTCGCTGGAAGGAACATAAGCACTTTCCTCCAATCCATAAACCAACACTGCGAAACTCATGGCCCTTCAGATATTTGGGATCACACTTGTTTTGCCATTGGCCATTCTGGCTAGAACCTCAGGAAGGCCAAAACATCTGGATAGCCAAATGTTGCCCGTCCCTTTCTTATTCTTGACATCCACCACCTGCCAGATGTTTGGGTTTGCATGCTTGTTTTCTTTTGTTTAAAGTGGGGGAGCAATCAAGCAGGCAGTCCTTGAACACAGTCTGAAGGTGTATCCTATTATTTTCTTTCAGGCAATGTGTAGGTCTGCATTCAGACTCTTGAGGTCTACATTTTTTTTTTTGAGTTTAGAGAGAGTGAAAAAGAGAGGAGGATAAATGGAATGAAAAATCAATTGATAAATCATTTCAACCATGTGTCGGTAAGAAGAACAGCAGCTCAAAACTGACAGATCCATTGATTGATCTGAACCTTGTAAGAGATACCGCTTACCAGGACTGAATTCTCCAGGCCCTGTCCTCAAACTAAGTTTCACTTCTTTATGACAACTGGGTTGGATTTGTCTGTTCTCCCATAAGGGAACTAGTACCCAACCCCAGCAAGTAACATATCAAAAAGGGAACATTAACTAGGCTAAACAGTTGGACATCTTTAGAAAAATGATACTTGGAAGCATGCCTGGAATGAGAAAAGCTGTCCAGCTATCATCATGACACTGCTAGCCAAGGAAAGATACTTCCAGATGAGCGCAGATTCACCTGGACTGAGTTTGTAGCACATCAGGGGCTCTGGCAAAACAGTTTCAATCAGCTACACTGATCAGAAGAATCAGTATTCTGTCTCATATGTTAGAAATTTGTCCACCACTAGCCTTATAATGAAACAACAACTAAAAATAGCAATTTTTCTGCCTTTCTGGGGTGTATGGTTTTAATCATGCCCAATCCAAAATAAACTATTCTAAATAATTTCCCAGTTCAGGTATAAGAATGTCCAATTCTTTGAAAAGCAATTAAGAGTACAGTGGTGCCTCGCATTACAACGTTAATTCGTTCCAGCGAAATCGCTGTAGAATGAAAACGTCGTAATGTGAAAATAAAAAGCCCATTGAAACGCATTGAAACCCTTTCAGTGCGTTCCAAGGGGCTGGAAACTCATCGTCCAGCGAAGAGCCTCCATAGGGAGGCCATTTTTGGTGCCTGTGCAGGGAGGAATCCGTCCCAGAAAACAGCAGGGAGCCATTTTATTTACCCGGTGGCCATTTTGAAACCGCCGATCAGCTGGAGGAAAATCGTCGTTTTGCGAAGAATCAGCTCCTGAAGCAGGGAACCGATCATCGCAAAGCGAAAAACCCCATTCAGACCATTGTTTTGCAATCGCAATTGCGATCGCAAAAAGATCGTCGTAATGCGGTTTTGTCATAATGCGGGGCAATCGTAAAGCGAGGCACCACTGTAGGGCAAAATAATTTCATATGAAAACATGGGGTTAAATCCAACTCTTAGTCTCAACTAGAGTAAATCTACTGAGTGAATAGGACTTGCATTTCTTTTTTGACTGGCCTACGATGCCTGCCCTGGTGTGTTGTTTTTAACTGCATCTTTCATTGTTTTTAATACAGTTGACCTTAATAGGTTAAGGGTGGAGTAATTTACCTGATCCTATGATTGTTCAGTTAGATTTGGGTTTCTGTTTTTGTTATTTTAAGAAGATTGTAAGCCATCCTGAATGCTATTTTTAGTGTAAAGGCATGGTGTAAATGTAATAAATAAATAAATACAATAAATACATATGTGCTGCTTGAACAAGTCCCACTCTATGAGTGGATTTACTCAGGTTAGGGCTAAAAATTGGATTTGGCCCACCAAGTGTGTCTAAAAGGGCGGGATAGAAACCTACTAAATAAATAAATAAATAAATAAAATAAATTGGAGGAGAGGAAAAAGACACCTGAAGTTACAGAAATGCAGTGCATTCATAAGAGAACTGCTGCTGTTCAACTGTATGTACATGAGCGACAAGGATCTTTTTCTCACATGTAATCTGAAGAGGTCATTGAGAACTAATCAGGATCTTGAAATGATAAGCTTCAAAATATACACCCCAGATACTGCAAATCGAACAGCTGAGATTTGCAGCAAATTTTATACTGATGTTGGTTCTGCAAAAAAAAAAAAAAAAAAGTCAAATGTTAGGAACTCCCCAAATTCACCCTTTTACAGTAGTAACAACCAGAAACAACCTTGTAGGATGGCATGTCAGGAGGTCGTAAGGGTAAAGGAACCTAAACACCATGAGGACAGGAGACTTCAGTCTTTATTTGTGCAGAGAAAAAAACACTTCTTAAACTCCTAGAATGTCTATCCAGGTTCCTTGGATACACTGCTGAGACCTACCTCCAACAGGTGGCTCCTAACTAGAGCAGGTCCATGGAATCAATGGGTTTACATATGTATTGACTTACCACTCAAAAAGTGATCCAGTGGGTCTACTCTAGTTGACAGCAGCAACTGGATTTAGGCCTCAACACTTATCCCATCTGCCTGCAGGATGCTTGGCTTGGCTTCCCTTTCTACAGCATCCTCTACCAACCTGTGTTGGACTACAACTTCCATCATCCCCAGCTAACAGGGCCATTTTAATTTTTTCCTCTTTCTGGAGAGACAGGGTAGAGGTGGCAATAGGCAAGGCTACCAAAAAAGTGAAGGAGGCAGAGGAGAAGGAGGACCTTGTCCTGCCTCTGTGGAGTTGAGGGACTGCTCAGGCTAAGCTCACTCATGCAGAAGGGAGGGAAGGGAGAAGGGAGAAGAGGAAGGAGGCAGGGTTTCCTCTGAAGGCAGTGAAGAGACTCAGCGAATGAATCGACAGAACAAGAACACTTGGCACACCACAGCAGGTCCTCCAGGGCCAAGTGGGAGCAAAAGAAGACCTCCCAACGTCACCTACTCGCCATCAGGTTTTGGTGGGTTGTTAAGAACACAGAGAGAGCTGGGGAGCACTTTTCCTAAGGCACGGAGCACAAAAGCAGGGTGCACGGTAAGCAGCAGGTGAGGAAGCTGCTCCTTCTCAGGAGAGGCGCAGGGAAAGAGCGGCCGGCAGGAATCCCGTCTCATTGCACATAGCCAAGGTTCTCCATCTCGTTCTTATACCGCTGCTCGGACACTTTGCTCTTGTGCTGTTTGCTTTCCAAGTGCTGCCGGAACTCCATCTCCTCGCTGGCGCCCGCGTTGCACATGGAGCAGTAGAACTGGCCACTGGGGGTGACGCACATGGCGAGGTCGCGGGGAATCCGCTGGCGGGAGCGTGGGTTGAAATAGGGACCTACGGGAAGGAAAATGAGAAGTACGTGGAGTTCATGCCCAGAATGCAACCCTACAGCGGTCATTCATGCAACTTCCACATGGATGCAACTTCTACATTGCTGCAGAACTAAAGGATGCAACTTCTACATTACTGCACAACTAAAGGATGCAACTTCTACATTACTGTACAACGAAAGCACCATTTTGGGGTGGGGATGCTGTGCAAATAACATGCACCCGTACAGACCTATGGGAAGGGGTCATCCTTCAGAGACAGTTCTTCCACATACTTCCTACCTTTCTGCAAGTCCACACGTCTCTCCCCACTCTTGCTTGGGTCCCCAGATGTTCCTGGACTGCAACTCCCAGAAGCCTCCACTGCTAGCTGTGCTGGCAATGGCTTCTGGAAGTTGCAGTCCAAGAACATTTGGGGACCCAAAGTTGTGAAGCACTGTTCTGAAAAACATACGTATTTGGACTGCAAATCCCAACTTTCCCCATGCTGTCTTGGAGATTCTGGGAATTCAGTAAAAAAGCAACTTTTCCATGCACCACTTTATATGATTATACCGGCTCAGTAGACTGGAACACAGGTATCCCGCTGGATCACAGCTATGCAACATATGCCCATCAATTCCAAAGTTGCAGGATAAACAGATAGTGTGGTTTGACCTAAGTGGAGTGAATTTTATGTAGACCTTCAGGAAGTTACTTTTTTTTTTACTACACCTTCCAAAATCTTCTAGCCAATGTGGTCAAGGGGAGTTAGCCAGGTTAAAGAGGGGGTTATGGACTTGTAATCCCCATGCTACATCCAGGAGATTTTTTTGAGCAAAATAATAATAATAAAGTTTTCTAAAATGAGGAGAGGGAAGGGTGAGCAAAGGGGCTCTATGATGACCTTTGGGACTCTGAGGGATCATTTTGACCCATGGGTCACGTTCTTGCAGTCTTTGTTTTTTGGGGGGGGGTTGTTTCCCCTATTTCCGATGGGTCTTGCAGGGTTTGTTTGCTTTTTGGTTTTCCCCCCATTTCTGATGGGTCTTGCAGGGTTTGTTTGCTTTTTGGTCGTCCCCCCACCCCATTTCCAATGGGTCTTGCACGGTTTGTTTGCTTTTCTTTTCTTTTTTCTTTTCCCTTCGGCCGGAATGGATTTATCGTGTTTCCGATGGGTCCTGCAGTGGCTTTTTGACTTATGACCATTTCGAGTTACGATCAGAGTTCCAGAACCAATTAAGTTCATATGTCGAGGCACCACTGTAGTGGCATTGCTTTCACGGGGTTGGGGGGGGAGGTTTCTGAAGATATTTCAGTGAATGTTTGGGGAAGAAAAAAACCCAAGTATCTCTTGATCCATCCAAAAACAAGACAGCAGGCTAGCTGTCTACTGGATTGTTAAAATGCAGTATTTCAAATGCCTGGGGGAAAAAGATCAGGACCCTCACAACAGATGGCTTCGTAGAGTGGCTAACCTGCTCTGTAATTCCAGATGACAACAAGGTGAAGAGGTTTTGGGAGTCGTATAGGCAAGAGTCACAAATGACCTGGCCTTGCGCCAAGGAAAAAGAGCAGAAAATCGCCCCTGCTCAGAGCCGTGGCAGAGCAGGGCAGATGGCCAGGTGAGAAACTGAGGCTAACCAAGAGGTAAACAAAGTCTGACAACTTTGAATTGGATGCTGAAAGGACAAAGGCAGGCAGATAGATAGGGGTTAGCCAAAACTGGACAAAAATTGTATTTTCTGCTGTTAGTACTTGCTTTCTACAGTGGGGGTGGGCGACTTCTCGTCCTCTTTAAGCTTCATATCTTAATGTAAAAAAAGAGTCCTTGGAAAAAATCTTGATGTTAGGAAGGTGTGATGGCAAGAGGAGAAGGGGACGACCGAGGATGAGATGGCTGGACAGTGTCTGCGAAGCAACCAACATGAACCTGACACAACTCCGGGAGGCAGTAGAAGACAGGAGGGCCTGGCGTGCTCTGGTCCATGGGGTCACGAAGAGTCGGACACGACTAAACGACTAAACACACACACATCTTAATGTAGATTTTTTCCCGTTGCTTCACGTCTTAATTTGTCATTATTATTGAATGTTAGCTTATGTGGTTGACGCTCTCCTTGTAAGCTGCCCAGAGTAGTGGCCTGGCCACTAGAGGGGTGGGGTAGGAATTGAATTAAATAAATAAATAAATAAATGAGTAACTTTGAGCCATAAAACTTCACACAACCATAAACCACCAAATATTAAGCACAAAAGTTATATCAAACTGGACCAGTGGTTTTTCCTATCTCCTAAATAGCTCCTTTGCTTTCTCCAGTTTACCATCCATTCCCACTCCAGTTACTATTTCCACTAAGAACTTAAGAAAAATACTTAATATTGATATTGATATTGATATTGATATTGATCATAATAATAATACTAATCATAATAATAATACTAATCATAATACTAATCATACTACTACTACTACTACTACTACTACTACTACTACTACTACTACTAATACTACTACTACTAATACTACTAATACTAATAATACTAATAATACTAATAATACTAATAATAATAATACTAATACGAAGAAGAAGAAGAAGAAGAAGAAGAAGAAGAAGAAGAAGAAGAAGAAGAAGAAGAAGAAGAAGAAGAGAGAAAGTGAGGAGGTTGTGAACCAGCTCCCACTTTGAGAACTATACCTGGCCCCCTCCCTGTTAATATTCAGAAGGCAACTTAAAACACTGCTTCTCAGAGGGTGCTTCCACCCCAGCCCTAAGTAATTTATGCCTCTAGTCCTGCTGTTTTATTTATTTGTTGTTACTTAAATGTGTTTTTATTTGCTTAGGAAGGAAGGAAGGAAGGAAGGAAGGAAGGAAGG